GGTTGTAGATCAGGTGTCATGTTATTACTGTGGGTTTCAGATCCTGGTTCACGGAGAGCAGAATGAGATGGCTCGATTGAAAGCCGCCCTGATTCGAGAGTACGAGGACAACGATGAGGTTCACATCGAGGTGCACAACCCTCGTAACACTGAGGCCGTCACGCTGAACTTCAGAGGAGAGAAACTGGCTAAGGTGAGACTGCAGCTCTCATTGGTCCATGTTCTTCCTCACAGTTCGAGACCGTTGCTGTAGTGGTGTGTCAGAGAGAGACTGTCTTTCTCACCAATGGTCAATAAATCATTCAAATTATTAATAATGATAAGAATCACAAACATTTCTTCTTCATTTGATATGAAATCAGTATTTAAACATGTCTCAAACTCGCAAAAGATTAGTTTGAACTGAACTACAAAAATTTGAACCCAGAACAAATTACACTTCTTTCTGTCTTTCTTTCTTTTGTCTTTTTTTTCTGTCTTTATTTTTCTTTCTGTCTTTTTTCTTTCTTTTTGTTCCTTTTCTTTGTCTTTCTGTTTTTCTTTCTTTTATTTTTCTTTCTTTCTTTCTGTCTTTTGTTCTTTGACTTTGTCTTTTTTCTTTCTTTTTGTTCCTTTTCTTGATCTTTCTGTTTTTCTTTCTTTTCTTTGTCTTTCTGTATTTCTTTCTTTTATTTTTCTTTCTTTCTGTCTTTTGTTCTTTGACTTTCTTTCTGTCTTTGTTCTCTTTCTTTTCTTTCTGTCTTTTTGTTATTTTTCTTTGTCTTTCTTTCAGTCTTTTATTCTTTGACTTTCTTTTTTTCTGTCTTTCTTTCTCTTTCTTTTGTTCTTTGTCATTTTCTTTCTATCTGTCTGTCTTTTGTTCTTTTTCTGTCTGTCTTTCTTTTACAATAGAACTTGTTAAAATGGTTTGCTGTTGTGATAAAAAAACATTCAAAAATAATCATATTACAAATACACACTGCACAGTTAAGTCTTATTATGAATCTTTCATCTCTATGATGAATCATCAACGGTTTGAACTGTCCTTTTATAATTTTGTTTCTGAATGTTTTTGTCTGTGGTATTTGAAGGTGATGGGCTCTCTTGCGGATAAGAAGTGTGCACAAGGTCAGAGGGTCTCTGGCATCCTGGTGAAAAAGAACTTCAGTTATCACATCCTCTCCCCCTCTGACCTCTCCAGTGAGTTGGTGTTTGTGATCGGTTCAGACGTTTCATATGTGTGTTTGTGTGTGTTCGCTTCTCACGCTTTTTCTTTGTTCTTAATGATGCAGATTACACTGAGCTGGCCATGAGCACAGTGAAACAGACTCAAGCCATTCCCTTCACTGGCCCCTTTCCCCTGCTTTTGAATCAGCTACGCCACCTGACAGGTGTGTGTGTGTGTGTGTGTGTGTGTGTGTGTGTGTGTGTGTGTGTGTGTGTGTGTGTGTGTGTGTGTGTGTGTGTGTGTGTGTGTGTGTGTGTGTGTGTGTGTGTGTGTGTGTGTGTGTGTGTGTGTGTGTGTGTGTGTGTGTGTGTGTGTGTGTGTGTGTGTGTGTGTCGTTTAAATGTGGTGCTCATTGTGTGTGTGTGTTACAGGTGATGTGGAGGAGATTGAGACATCAGAGAAGAGCACACTAAGAGTGTTTAACAGCATCACAGTGGTTCATGATCAAAACTTGGTCGTGTTGGAGGTAGGGCGGCACAGCAGTCATTGGTGCACCAGTGTAACTATGGCAACAGAAGTGACTCGTATTGTTAATTGTGTGTCTGTGGTGTTCTTCCACCAGTGGTTTGCCAACCCTCTGAATGACATGTACGCTGATGCCGTCACCACAGTGGTGCTGGAGGTCCAGTCAAACCCTAAAGCTCAGAAAGGTGAACAGCTCAAAGAGTTCTAGAGAGAAATAGTTCTTTCTTTTATTTCTTCATTTCTTTCTTGCTTTCTTCTCTTCCTTATTATTTTTATCTTCCTGTATTTCTCACTTTAATCTTTATTCCTTCCTTCAGTGCTTCTGTCCTTCCTTCTGTCTATTCGCCCTTTCTCTTTATTACTATCTTTACCTTCCTTCCTTTCTTGTTCTTTCCTTTCACTTTCTTCCTTCCTTTCCTCTGCTTGCTTCCTTTCCTTTTTCTATACAGTTTTTTTCCTTTATTTCCCACCTTTTTATCTTTATTCCTTCCTTCATTCCTTCTTTCTGTCTATTATATCTTTTTCATTATTATTGTTTTTACCTTGCTTACTTTCTTTCTTGCTTTTTGCTTGCTTACTTTTTCTTCCTTCCTTCCTTAATTCTAGTTTCTTTCTTTGATTGTTACCTTTCTCATTTTTTCTTGCTTCCTTTATTTCCCACATTATCTTTCTTCCTTCCTTTACTTTCTTTCTATTTATTACAGGTTATTACTTGCTTTCTTCCTTTGTTTTTTCATCTTTGCTTCTTTCTCTTTTTCACTTTTTGCTTGCAAATTTTAATAAACTGGTCTTATTTGCTCCAATATCTTTGTTTTCCTCTTTATTTCTTCATCTTAGTTGTTCAGCCCCAAGAAAAGAAGATGGATGTGGATGTTTACCAGAACAGATTACTAAAAATGTTCCAGTAAGTTCATCTTCACTGCACTCAGCTAACCGTCAGTGATATTTATGATGAACTAAATTCTTTTTCTGCCACGATCTGCAGAGACATGTTTGGAGAAGAGTGTGTCGACTTTAAAGACAAGAACTGTCTCGCTGTAAGTGTAGATGAGAAGACTGCCTACATCAATCTGGAAACCCGAGTAAGTATCAGACAGAAGTTTTATGGAAACTGAAATATTGGGATTCTAATGTTTTTGTTATGTTTGTGGTCAGACCGTGGAGTATGAGGAAGCTGATTCTGAAGATGATTCTCTCAGAGAAATGGTGGAGCTCGCTGTGCAGAGGCTGTATGAAGCCATGAACCCTGTCATGTGAGATCGCCAATTCCCATCTGCCTACTATCTGGCTCTTAATTTCCCTCAAGAACTTTTGTTATTACAGTCCATCTAACTTGAACTACTTAAACCAGACTGAAGACACCAGATGTTGGACTGGCCAAAGCACTTCAAAGGATTGAATTGCCATTAAAATCGAATGGATACCAGTGAAAGATATATGTTGATACGTATGTGCATTCAGGAGTCACTGTTCTTTAGTTCCACTAGTTAAATATACATTATGTGATTGTTTAAAATTGTTTTTGTCGTCTTTTTTCTTATCTGACATTTTATGTTCAACTAAAGCTATAATTTGTTTAAGATCAGTGTATTGATTTAATAAAAGAGGTTTTTGAGTGAAGTTGAGCTTGAATTTCAATACACACCTTACATTAAGGGTGAGGTTTTATTTAAAAATGAAAGCTTGCAAAACACCAAATCAAATCAAATATGGCATTTGATTTGAAAACACCAAGTCAAAAACTATTAAGTTATACAAATCTAACACAGATACAAAACACTGTCTTAACATTCAATACTTTCTCTCTTGACCCATCACAACGTTGTGGGGAGCCATGCAGATTATTATGGGCACATTTATTAACATGAAAAAAAGATTTGACACCCGATAATAAAAATAAACCACGTTTTCAGGGTCACGTAGATCTCCTACTTAAAAATGACACTTGTATGCTTGGTATTCTACAAGATCAACACAAATACATTCCCAAAAGACGATTACAGTTATGAGTAAAATTCAGAAAAAGATGACTGTTTAGCCACCAATAAATGACTTCGTCACACTCCCTTTTTGAGTTTTCCTGTAGATTACATTGCAAAACACATGGGAGTAAAATACTTTTTCACAAGACGAATAAAAAAACAAATACAAGGCACTTTGGATACTGATCTCAGAGCAGTGTTCAACATCAGTACATTCTTATGGGAGCAGCTGCAAGATACATATTCTTGCATACAGTTACAGTCATGAACATTGTGTCGAAGAAAAGTATAATAACGTGGAGAGATAAAACTGATTGCCTGTCTTTTCATTTAACTTGTGACTTTGGTATTTCATAAAAAGCCAATGAGCCAAAAGTGTTCTCATATACCAAACAACACGTATATTTTAAGATATGTCAGTGCAAGTTGCTTTCAGTTAAAACAGCTTAAACATGCCTTTTAGTCTGGGACTAGGCTTAAGCCTTATCTGGGACATCAGGGGGTAATGTCTGCTGGTACAACTGTTTAAATTATTGTAACATGTTGTTACATTCAAGAACAGTACAAATGAAAGCAAAAAAAAAAAAAAATGTCCGAAAATATCAAGTAAGTGCCTCTAAAAAATCCGATTGTCTTTTGCAAACAATAAAAAGCAAGAACACAAGATTGTGTTCAATAGAGGTTACAAAACATAATTTGCTGGTGTGTCAGAACACATACAAGTAAAATATCAACTAAAATATAACAGGTAATGGTTAATGGTTTTCAAGATCTGTTAGCATCTGCTCAATCCCTTAGACAAAAACAGACCTGTAAACATCTTGGTATTGGGTAGTTAAGCTTTAACAATGAAGCTGGTCAAGTGTAGATTACTCTGTTGAGATCCAGTGTGCATGTGTAAATATGAATGCATATAGCATAATCCTAACAGGATTAACAACACTGAATTCCCGTGTAATGCCTAGACACTGAATGATTTGTGCCATCTGTTGCTTTATAAAAGACCAGTGCTCTTAAAGGGACAGTTCACCCAAAAATGAACATTCTGTCCTCGTTTACTCACACTCATGTCTTTCCAAACATGTATGACTTTCTCTCTTCTGAATTGGCACCTTAAAAGCATGAAAGTGGTGGACGTGGACCCAACATGTGTGCTTAATTGCAAGTGTTTTAAAGCTATACGGTAGCTTTGTGGAGGAACAGATTTGTCATTTTAAGTCAAATTTAAGTCATTTTCCACTGATAATCTTTTTCTTCACTCTGGCACATTTTTATAAGAATGGTTTTCGTGAAAGAAGTAGCAATGTCCAGTTAGTGACCAAATTAACCTTCTGAATCGGACATCATCAAGATTTTCTCCTTCTGAGCTCCACAGAAGTCAGACAGTCATACAGGTTTGGAACGACATGAGGGTGAATTTTCTGTGAACTATGCCTTTAAAACAAACTGCATTCTGTTTTTGTTTTTTTCAATACTTGAGCGGCAAGCACATTGCATTTCAGCGCATATGTAATGCTCGTTCTGCTCAGCTTTGAGCATTCCCAATCATATTCCCTTACAATTCCTATACAACCACACTCTTAACATTCAGTCTCCTTGCTGTTATTTTGTGCATGTCTCTTTACCCTGAAGGACATGGCATTCTCTCGGTTCTCCGTCAGATCATCAAAGGAGCGTGACACTGTGCCAGAGGTAGGGAAGTCCTCTCCCAGGGCTTGTTCATCCAGGTGGGAATCATAGCTGAGATCTTCTTGGATGGTGGCCATGCGTTGGTGCTCCATTGTGGGGTGAGGACACGGTGTTGGTGTTGGGGTTAAGGCTGGAGCCACCTGGGAGATGGAGACAGGTGGTGTGCTGGTCTGCAAGGGTTCAGACGCCTGAAAGCGTGGCACCGCAGAGGAGCCTGAGGATGATGGCGGTTTGAAGATCCGCACCGAGGCTGATTCCAGACTGCTCATCAGCTCTGCATTCTGGGACAGCACATAAACACAGTCAGGCATTTGTTATGCTTCCTATTATCAAAAGAAAAATGACTTTTTCTGAGTTCTGATTTGTACTTACACTGGGGTAGAAGAGTGGCTTTGTGTTAAATTCATATTGCTGGTCAAGTTTTTTATCCTAAAGACAAGAGACAGAAATCTTGTAAAAATCACTTTTATTTCTTGGATGGGGCCTTTGTCATTATTGATACTTATATTTTGCATCATCAAATGGATTGTCTTCTAAGAACCTGAATGACTCTTCTAAGAGTGTCGTTTAGTTTCGATCTTAGTGTGAATAAACCTTTGGCTTGTGATTGAATTTTTTCCTTTTGCTCTTGGTGTAAATAGACATTTTGTCTGTGATTAATTTAACATTTTATTGTGCTCTTGGTGTAAAGAAACAATTTGTCTGCGATTCATTTAACTTTTTTTGTTTTGCTCTTGGTTTAAATAAATAAATGTTTTGTTTTGTCTGCGATTCATTTAACTTTTTTGCTCTTGGTGTGAATAGTTGTTTCTATATATATATATATATATATATATATATATATATATATATATATATATAACAACTTCATATTCATTTCATTTTTTGTTTTGCTCTCACCGTAAACAGTCCTTTAGACCATAATACAACTCAAGGTCAGTCCATTATAGTTGCAGACATTTCCTCAGAGATACAACTAACTGTAAGATGTTAGTGGAGATGACTCACCACACAATGGACCAGAATGCTGAGCGGGATCCAGAAAAGAAGTGAGAAGACCACCACTGAGCCAACAATGTTGTCTGCCAGGAACTTCCCTGAGAACACAAACGCAGATCTCCTATCCTCCATTGGATTTCAAGTAAGATGACATCACAGTGTTCACAGATAACTTACCAAAAGTATTAATGTCCAACTTCTCAATGAAATCCCACAATCTCTCAATAACATCCTGGACCTGTTTCATGCATTTACCCTGGAAGGAATAAGAACATATTTTTGAATAACTGAACCTAAACCATTTACTTTACAATTGTCTTGTGAACTACTGCAATTTAGCTGAGATTAATCAACACCTTCTATAAATGTCTTACATGAGTAGAAATGTAAAAAAGTGTATGTTGTGAACACTGCCACTCACCGCTCCATCACAAAAGCCCACAGTGCAGGGTTTGCCTTTCCGCAGAAAGATGGGGTTGCCCTTCTCATCAATATAAGGAGTGCACACAGCGCTCTTATCCTTACAGCACACCTTACAAGAGTTGTTCGTCTCTGAAAATGACATACAGGAAGAGTAAAAAAGGGCACGTCTGCTCAAAACAGACTTTAAAAACTGTTGCAATATACCAACAGTGTTAGCTTTATCAGAAGCTCAGTTTACCATTGCAAGCACACGACTGCAGGCTCTTCACAGCTTCACAGAATGGGATGCAATCTCCGTTCAGACACCGCCCATTGTCCACACAGATGGTCTTATTAGGGACGTTCTCTGGAGGAGGGCATGCACTGCTGAGTCCTGTAAGAAGCACAGAAGAATAGAGTTTCAGTGAGGACAAAGGGCTATGCGGTTAAATCTCATCCGCAAGTCTATTTTTAACAGATTTTTAGCATTTCAGCATTGTTTCCCGTGACATTTAAGCAAAATTTCTCATTACTATAATCCATATGGATATTTTACTTCCAAAATCTTTAGTAATTTCTATTTACCTCAGTAGTGATTCTCATTATATCATCATACAATCTCAAATGACAACCATGAACCATTACAGCATAATTTCTTTGAATTTCAGTAATGAGAATTGGATTTTTTTGCATTAGGGTATTGATGTCACAATGCAAAATATTTCACCATAAAAATGTATGGTACCATAAAAATAAGTAAAAAAATGAAAGTACTTTTTTTAAATAATAAAACATATAATTGCACAAGCAGTGTTGTTATTGTAAACTAATGCCAAATTAAAGACAAAAACTAATATTGATCAAATTGTAGTAATTGAAATAAACTAAAAAAAAAAAAAAACTTGAGAAATTTTGCTAAGACTAATAAAAATGACAAATGCACATAACAAAAGTACTAAAACTTAAACTAAAATGAAAATGAAGACTGAAAATATAAAAATAGAAGCTAATTCAAAATATTAATAAATAATACTAAAACTGTTCTCAACCTGAATTCCTTAATCAGATATATAGAATCAAAGTAGTACACTCAGTTGTGTAAACTTGAAGCTTGTTAGTTGATGCCTCACCTGTACAGTAAGACCTTCCCTTGCAAGTGGCATTCATCGGCTCCTGACACACCTTGCCCTTCCTCTCAAACATGCAGTCTTTGCAGCACGCACTGTTCCTGTCACTAGAGTCAAGGAAAAAAGACACAAACTGACATATACCCAGGAGATACATTTTTGGGTGAACCGTCCCTTTAATACACCATATCTGCATCAGCATTTTTTTCATGAGGCCACATGGAGGAGCTGTACCTGCACTCCACATTGGGCCGAAGTTTGCAGTCTGACGTGCAACAGCGGTCGCTGTTGAGGTGGAGCAGTCCAGGATCACACTCCTCACCTTCCTCCACCCGTGAGTTTCCGCACACATTGCTGTTCCTCTCTCTGAAGCAGGCGGGGGCCTTGAGGGTCAGACTCTTTACTATGGATCTCTTGCTGCAGTTTGAAAACAACTATAGGGGAGCACCAAAACAAAACACTTACAAACTGATCACGTGACGTTGTGAACAATGACACCAAGCTGAATTCACATCGACGAAGGACGTACTTTATTGTTAGAGTGGTCCCCACTCACTGCAATGGGGTACATTACGTATTTGCCCCCCTGATCCTCTCTGGGCGTGCAGTCCGGTGAAGTATCTGGATCATGAATAGCACCAAAGTTGTGGCCAAGCTCATGAGTGGTAACCAAATCAGCTTCCTGTTGGTATATAGTCAGAAAATTAGCTTACTAAAATAAAAGCGACAAGAACATTTGTTTGGACTTCACTTGCCTTGGTAAGAATGGTTTTTCCATAATTTTTGGTGCTGGTTAGTCCAGTGTTAAGGTATATAGCACGATTGTCATTTCCTGAAGAAGGACACTCTTAAGAAAGACAGATAACAACAATAAACAAAATGACTAAGCATGGGGAATATGTAAGACCAAATTGATTCAGCCATAATGTGGTATTTACACTCACTCTCAGAGCAAAGACCTCCAGGAAAGCCTGCTTTGGAGGGAGCCACGTAAGCCAAGCCGAGCGTGCCTTCATCAAAATCCTGATATGTGAACAGATGAGCCAAGCACACTTGGGATGCATTATCTGCGATGTCAATGCTAAATTGCTGCAGGAGGAAGACAAAAGGACAATTTTTACAACAATTTATCGCACAGCTGTTTATTCGTGACGAATCAGGCACCCCAAGTTCACTTGTGAATTTCTAAAGCATTTTGTTTGTTTTTGGCTTGCTTTTCTATTTACAAGCAAAATAATGTCTTAAGGACATAAGGACTACAACTACAAGGATGTAAGTTTACATGCTTGACGAAACAGAATATCACTGAAACTTATATAGCAACGACTTACTTTTATTCAGCAAGGATGCATTAAAATGATCAAACATGACAGTAAAGACATTAATAGTGTTTTCTGTTTCAAATAAATTATGTTCTTTTCATCCTAAAATGTATCACAGTTTCCACAAAAATATTAAGCAGCACTGTTTTCAACTTTGATAATAATAAGAAATGTTTCTTAACCACCAAATCAGCATATTAGAATGATTTCAGAAGGATCATGTGACATTGAATACTGCAGTAATGAGGCTGAAAATTCAGCTTTGCCGTCAAAGGAATAAATTACATTGTATTAAATATTAAAATAAATTATACACTCACCTAAAGGATTATTAGGAACACCTGTTCAATTTCTCATTAATGCAATTATCTAATCAACCAATCACATGGCAGTTGCTTCAATGCATTTAGGGGTGTGGTCCTGGTCAAGACAATCTCCTGAACTCCAAACTGAATGTCAGAATGGGAAAGAAAGGTGATTTAAGCAATTTTGAGCGTGGCATGGTTGTTGGTGCCAGACGGGCCGGTCTGAGTATTTCACAATCTGCTCAGTTACTGGGATTTTCACGCACAACCATTTCTAGGGTTTACAAAGAATGGTGTGAAAAGGGAAAAGCATCCAGTATCCGGCAGTCCTGTGGGCGAAAATGCCTTGTTGATGCTAGAGGTCAGAGGAGAATGGGCCGACTGATTCAAGCTGATAGAAGAGCAACTTTGACTGAAATAACCACTCGTTACAACCGAGGTATGCAGCAAAGCATTTGTGAAGCCACAACACGCACAACCTTGAGGCGGATGGGCTACAACAGCACAAGACCCCACCGGGTACCACTAATCTCCACTACAAATAGGAAAAAGAGGCTACAATTTGCAAGAGCTCACCAAAATTGGACAGTTGAAGACTGGAAAAATGTTGCCTGGTCTGATGAGTCTCGATTTCTTTTGAGACATTCAGATGGTAGAGTCAGAATTTGGCGTTAACAGAATGAGAACATGGAACCATCATGCCTTGTTACCACTGTGCAGGCTGGTGGTGGTGGTGTAATGGTGTGGGGGATGTTTTCTTGGCACACTTTAGGCCCCTTAGTGCCAATTGGGCATCGTTTAAATGCCACGGCCTACCTGAGCATTGTTTCTGACCATGTCCATCCCTTTATGGCCACCATGTACCCATCCTCTGATGGCTACTTCCAGCAGGATAATGCACCATGTCACAAAGCTCGAATCATTTCAAATTGGATGACAATGAGTTCACTGTACTAAAATGGCCCCCACAGTCACCAGATCTCAACCCAATAGAGCATCTTTGGGATGTGGTGGAACGGGAGCTTCGTGCCCTGGATGTGCATCCCACAAATCTCCATCAACTACAAGATGCTATCCTATCAATATGGGCCAACATTTCTAAAGAATGCTTTCAGCAACTTGTTAAATCAATGCCACGTAGAATTAAGGCAGTTCTGAAGGCGAAAGGGGGTCAAACACAGTATTAGTATGGTGTTCCTAATAATCCTTTAGGTGAGTGTATATTAAAACCGTTATTTTAAATTGTAAGAATATTCAGTGTTACTGTTTCATAACATATTTTTTATCAAATAAAAGCAGCCTTGGTGAGCATAAGAGACTTCTTTCAAAATCATAAAATTTTACCAACCCCAAATTTTTGAACAGTAGAGTATCTTTTCAAATCACTCAACAGTTCAAAATTCACATTAGAGGTATGACTATGGGTTATTTGTGTTGTAGAACAAAACCTAAAAGTCTCTTTTAAAAAAAATGTACCCACAGACCTTATTTTACTCAAATCAAAAATCACACAAAATGGCTGGAAGATGCTAATTCTCCTCGGTAGTTTTAGAACTACAAATTGAACTGCACTAATAATGTTTCCAAAGCATGTTCTTTCTCTTTGCTGGTTCTCTGCCAAACAGAGTTGGATAATGTAACAATACACAAGTCCTCAATATTCTTCACTCTCAAATAGAAGCGTCGCTCATCGTTTCAAATCAGCACAGCTCAGAATACAGAAAGGACGCTCTCATTAATTCAGTCATTTGCGAGACTCCCACAGTTCCAGCTCGCTCACCTCCAGGAGCGTCTTGACGTCCCAGACATGTTTGTTCTTCACAGGAGTCCCTTTCATGTTGTAGTGGGCACCTCTCAGCGACACTTTTGTGGGTGTCTTGTTAATTATTATCTGAAAGAGACAAATGCTTGTTGCTGGCTCCAAAATAGCATTTCATTGGAGTTCTTCACCTTGTTCTCATCAAAGAACCATGCTTACCTGCTGAATCTGAACTCCATAACCTTTATACTCCTCATTCCAAGACGTATTACGGTAAATGTCATCCACACGATCAATCAGCTCAATCTAAACACATCCAAGGCAAATTTGTAAGACATCTGCTGCCAACAACTTTATACAACCTTCTTCTCAGATGACAAAAAAATTTTGTCAAAAAAAATTTTGGGCCTCAGCGAACATTAAAGAGGGCAACAAAATGACTTAAACTTATTTTAAAATTTTCATTACAATACTGATCAAAAGTTTGGGGTCACTAAGATTTTTTAATGCTTTTAAAAGAAGTCTCACCAAGGCTGCATTTATTTTATCACAAATATAGTAAAAACAGATATATTGTGAAAAAGTATTAAAATTTAAATTAACTGTTTTCTATTTGAATATATATTAAAATGTAATTTATTCCTGTGATTGCAAAGCTAAATTTTCAGCCTCATTACTGCAGTATTCAGTGTCACATGATCCTTCAGAAATCATTCTATTATGTTGATTTGGTGCTCAAAAAACATTTCTTATTATTATCAATGTTGAAAACAGTGCTGCTTAATATTTTTCTTAATATTTTCTGGGGTTTTTTGGATTCTTTGATGAATAGAAAGTATAAAAAGGAAAGCATTTATTTGAAATAAAATCTTTTGTAGCATTATAAACGTCTTTACTGTCACTTTTGATCAATTTAATGCATCCTTGCTAAATAAAAGTATTAATTAAAAAAAAATCTTATAAACCCCCAAACTTTTGACTGGAAGTACATGTCAAGGACAAAAATATTATATCGGTTAGAAATTATAAATTGGAGTCAAAATGGTTGAGAAACACTGATCTAAGAAGCACTGTCCTATTGAAATGAATGTGACGATTTGCATCAGAATGATTTTATGCTCAATTTATGCAGAAATGTGTTCGTGTGTTTCATGAAAAGGGCAAATGACAATATAAAAACTGAAGACTTCTTATTTACCAGGTAGTTGAGGGTGGTGCTCTCCTCCTCACGGCCCATGTGTCTGAAAAATCGATAGTCGGCCACAAGCAGCAGAGGGCAGGTGTTCTTACTGTGGTCCGGGGTCTGTCTTCTCTCTCTCAGGTGCCCTGTGGAACAGATGCAATGGAGTGAAAAAGATGGCAAAAATAGATAAAGGGTTGAGAAGGCGAGAGACATAACACATGGGTGACAAAGTAACTATATAAAGTGGCAACTCACATTACACTGTCTAGATCTGTCTCAGATGAGCAGGAAAAGTCTCATTTAAACCAGTTGTGTTGTGACAGAGAGCCATAGAATGAGTTTTCAGGATTTAATAACCAGTTTTGACATGTTAAACATATACAAATTAACTCAAAGACTTACCATCCTCCTCCTCTTCCCCTTCATCTAGTGCTCTGGCAGCCCGCACACTCTCTGGCAGCATCTCGATGGCATCTGTGCTGATGTAGCCGCACACTTTTGAAGCCGCCAACCGGCTCACGTTCCTGATGTCTTCAGAGCGATATATGAGCAGCCGATCATCATGTGAGTCTTCGATAAACCTCCACAGGGGCTGCAGAAACCAGATGAATGGGTTAACAATTATTGTATTCTCTTTGCTGAGTGGCATCATCATTAGATTGGTGGTGTTATAATACCTCAATATTGTATTCGGCTTCATCAGTAAGAATATGAGCAGTGAAGTCATTGACACCGATATGCGCTTGAACACGGGAATTCTCCTCTCCTAGAAATTAAGGGGAAAAACATTGTAAACTGCCAATGAAATTTGCTAGAAACTAATTTTTAAGATGTTAAAAGTATTTTAGACGTTAAAATACATAGAGTTGCAGTTACCAATGACATGACCGATGAAGAAGTTTTCTCTCTGGACCTCGTACGTCTTTTGAGCGCCATCTTCTCCTACTACCACAGCCTTAAAGTCATGAGTGAAGAGCTCTGTGTTGGTTGCCAGGTACAATTTGAAATGCCTGGGAAATATTTAGGAGAGCTTAAATGACTGAGATCTAATCTTGGCGGTGTGTCATGGTACATGGGTGATGAGTATTCACCTCTGTAACGCAGTGAAACCGAGAAACCTCTCTGCGTGTGTTTGTGACTGGACATCTCTCTTGCGAACCGAATGCTGTTGAAGACTGGACCGCTGAAGAACATCAAAGTCTGACAGCAATGAGCTGAGCTGGTCTGAAAGAGTCACAGTGAACAACTTTATACATATTATGGAATTAGGCCCAATTCATTTTAAAGTGAAATTACAGGTTTCAAGGAGCAGTTTGAAGGACTTGGAGTGTCTGTGTTTTCTATTTCTCCGTAATCACTAAAAATGGGTTTCTCTCAACTATGGAAAAAATTCAAAAAGCAATTGCAACTTTTATCTGGCAATTCTGGTTTTATTTCTCACAATCTGTGATTTTCTCAGAATTGCAAGTTTATAACATACAATTCTTTATTTCTCATAATTCTGGGTTTATATACCACAGTTTTGAGTTAACATCTCACAATTCTGAGTTTTTATCTCAGAATTACAAGTTTAGAGATGTAAATTCAGAATTCAGAGGGAAAAGGTTAGAATTGGGAGATGCATTTCTGAGATAATTGTGAGAAATTCTGAATTGTGTCATAAGATCACAATTCTGAGAAAGTGTGAATTGTGATCTTATGACACAATTCAGACTTTATTTCTCAATATTCTCAGAATTTAATTTTTTTTTTCCTCTGAGTACATCTCGCAATTCTGACTTTTCTCTAAGAAATCTCAGGAAACTCTCAATCCCTTCCACTCCTTCAGAGCTCCAGTCCATGTCTTGTTTCGTAACAGGGAAACAATGATGCTTTGGCTTCTTTTCCAACGATTTTAGTTAACAAAGAAAGAAAAAAGACTAATTAAATGGACACATTTTTTCTGCAGAATAAGATACATTCGATATTAACTTTTTGTTTATATTTTTGTTTATTAGTCAGTTTTTACAACCACGATCTATAGCCTACTACATAACTAAAAAAAGGATGGAAAGTCTGGTGCCATGGTAAACTCTTCTTTGCAATTGAGCTTCTTCACAAAATGTTTGGTGAAAGTCATTCAATTCAATGACAAACAGTAGATCTGAGATCTGAAAATACAGTTAGGTATTTGAAAAAAAAAAAAACACTAGGTTATGATGGCGTAATCGAAACAGCACACTCTTTCGATTTAAATGTATCCATGTTTTCAAAGTATTCCTATTCGTATTCTCAATAACTCACCGTACTCGTCGTCTAGGACATCCCGAATGGGTCTCCTTGAACACTCCGTCAGGAATAAAGACGCCAGAAAGAAAACGATGCGTTTCATGGCGAGCACGTTAATGCAGCATACAGTTCTTCACACAGCAACAGCATTTAATCCCATGGATTACCAATCTGCCTGAGATCAACATCTGGACATGGCCAAACAAATGTACACGCTCACATCTGGCTGGATAAAACAAAGCCACAAAGTATCAAAGAACAAAAACACGCTCACTTTAAGACGCTCTCGTCCATCTCGCTTGATGTTATAAAGAAAAAGATTCACTCAAAACCAAATCATGCCAACATCTGAGAGTAGTGAAATACCCGGAAGTATTTAATTTGGGATGGATGGTGCCGATCAGATTCACCGCGACAGGAAATCACTATTAACTTCATCTACAGCTCGTGTTGAAGGCGTTATCAAAACACTGATTTGAAGGGCGGTTGATTTTAAATTCACGCTTGACAGTACGCAGAGTATTTTAAATGGGTTTTAGAGAGTGTATCCGCGGTATGAGTTACGTAAGTGGATAAACTCTCGGGCTGTGCTCAAAAACCAGTGAGCTGTCTATCTAGACCGTATTTAGTGGGCGTCGCATACGGGTGAACGTGCGTCTAGATAGACAGCTCACTAGGTTGAGAACAGTCTCAGTCTCGTCCAGACTCTATTTTTAAATTCTTACATCAAACCTCATGGAATTCAGTCTAGCGTCTATAGGCTCATTTGGAGGACAGTATACAAGCAGCTGAAAATCTTCTATTTAGGGAGCCATTATCACAAACTCAAAGCATTCAATTAATTTGTACAAGTAATTATTTTCACAGAACTGTTAAACCATGTATAATTGAACGTGTGAAGGAGAAAACCGCAGAATTGTGCTGTAATATTTAAGGTTAACCATCATGTATCGTTTCCTCTTCTGGAAAATTGACCAAAAAACACTGATGGCACTCAGTCATTTTAACCAATCACTTGTATTCTAGAATTAAATTATTTTGATTATCATTAGACATGTGGTCTAAGTTAAGTAATGTAAAATACTACCGGTTAAAAAATAAGGGACACACATAAACTTCCTATTTCAAAAGTCAACGAAATTGTATTTATTTTGTCACTATTAAAGAAGTCTACAAAATACTACTGAAAACCAGTCAAAATGCAGTACATCATCAGTCACCAGGAAAGACTGAGATAAAACAAATTTCAAGACAAAACTGTATGGTTTATAAAATGGTCATTTTAATTCAGGTTACATAGCTGTTATGTAGGGCTTGTACATTTTCACAAGGCTTTGGGGGACTACAGTCAATGATTAGCAAAAACACAACGGTGGTCCAAATAACTATTGACATCACTTGACAAATTAAACATCCTCTCAACATGTGCATAAACCTGCAATGAAAAGTACTTAACCAAACTGTGGAACATGAATGCAGTATTGGTTCCCATTCCAGTGTATATTGAAAAATGGGCATGCCATGCATGATATCTTTTTTTTGTTTTTTTTATCATCACAAGCCATTGCAAGGTCACACATTAAAGTGAAAACCATAACCAGGCAGGAGTGTTTCGTGACCTTCGAGATGAAGACATGATTCAAATGGTCAATGAAAAGTGCATACTTGGCTGATCAATGCTAGCTGACTTGGTACATCAGAAAACAGCCTTCTTGCTATCAATACTAAAGTACAGGCCCATTTTAAGCCAACACTATGACAGTCAACAACACATTAATCTCATTCAAGTGTATGTTGATTTCCCTAGAGACGTACAAATGGAAGGTGATATAGCAGGACAGGAACTAGCCATGCTTGAGGCAAAACGCTCTGCATTTTGTGACCGACACTTCCAATATTTCAGTTTACCAGAATATACACACTAGTCGCTGTCACAATTAAAGGACAATTGTTTTTATGTGAGGCTAACACTTTTCTACAGCAGACACTGCACATAAAGAAGGCCAAAGGACAAAAACACAAAACTGAGGAATGGAGATGTTACTTTAACTCAATATTTACTTTCAGTACAACCACAAGCCAGGTGGTGGAAAATGGAGAGAGAGAAAAAAAACCCCAGACTGATTGGAATTCCCACACTCACAGCTCATTGGTAATGATCATGGGCTTTAACATGGCTAGAATAATCATAAGTGAAACAATAAGGAATGAAGAAGTGTAAAAAGTTGTCTTTATCCAGGATTCTTTCGCTTCAATCTGTGGAGAGAAGATGTGCGTTTAGTTCTCTCCGTCTCCTCCTTCACCCTCATCTGCAGCGTTGTCAGAGGTCCATAACTGATAAAAAAAAAAAAAAAGAGGACAAATGTGTGCTTGAATACTGAATATCTATATTTTGCACAATAAATATAAATGATTGTAATATAACTTATAAAATCTACATTCCACAGTCTCAGAGAAGACTATTTTGTAGGTCAGTATGACTTTGTTTGTAACTCACTGTGAGGTTGTCTCTAAGCAGCTGCATGATAAGTGTGCTGTCTTTGTACGAGTCTTCGTTCAGTGTATCCAGCTCTGCAATGGCTTCATCAAATGCCTGCAAGCACAAGGCCACAATAAGTTGAGGTATGTGAACGAACAGTCAAGACCCTGGTATGTGAACCACGTGCCTGACGAAAGTGTAAAAATCTAGAAGGACAAGTGGGTAAATTTTCAATAGGAATTTCCCCTTCACTGAGTTAAATGTTTAATTAAAGGTGAATAACTAAAAGAATGTAAAAAAAAAAAAAATGCCCACAATCCCTTCTGGCATTATTTTTTGAAAATTCCCTGCTTAACAGCATATTACAGGTAGTCCAACCCCAAACTCATATTATTAGTCAAGCTAGAAGCTGATATGTTTGGGGGGGGGGGGGGACACTAAATTGTCTCATAAATCAATTTAGTGAAGAGCAACAGAGTGGTGCTGTCATCTAAAAATCCTACTTGTTTGGCCAGAGCGCAGGCCTGCTCAGGAGAGTTGAGGATCTCATAGAAGAAGACAGAGAAGTTGAGAGCCAGTCCCAGACGGATGGGGTGTGTGGGCTGCATCTCCTTCTTACTGATGTCAAACGCATCCTGGTAGGCGCCTTGAGAGTTGGTTATCGTGTCTGTAGGGACACAAAATAAATATAACTATTAACTATTTGTCATATATAACAAATATAACTAGTTATTAGTAATATAATAATAGTCATAAAAAAATAAAATAAAAAACCCTAACTAGTGGAAATGAGTCCGTGGTTCTGGACAGAATAGATTTCTCAAAAACCAAGCTCTCGGAATGTGGACCTTTAAACCCTTTCATTGGTTGACTTTAGTTTAGTAGCTCTTAACCATTATGACTCCTTTTTCCCTTTGTCCAAGACAATATTCAAAGGTCCTACTACCCATTCTGAGATGTATAAACTCAAACATATGATGTCAGATTAATGTCGTACATCTTTATATTTAGTATTTTCTAGCGTTTTAGTAAGATATTGTACTTCTTGGGCACCCCTGGAAGTTTGCAGAGACCCCGTAATGAGCCCTGGCCCCCTATTTGAAAATCACTGCTTTAAACAGATAGTTCACCAAAAAAATGAAAATTCTGTCATTGACTCACCTTAATGTTGTTTTAAACCCGTAAGACTTTCAACCATCTTCAGAACACAAATGAAGATAATGTTAATGAAATATGAGAGATGTCAGTCCCTCCATTGACAGTCCCGCTTAATTCATAATGGATTCATTTTACAATCTCTTTATGAACTTTTTGAAGCGTCAAAGTGGGAGTTGTGTAGACTGTCAGTGGAGGGACAGAAATCTCTCAAATTCCATAAAAAAGATCTTAATTTGTGTCCCGAAGATGAACAAAAGTCTTACGGGTTTGGAACGATATACGGGTAAGTAAATTACAGAATTTAAATTTTTAGGTAAACTAACCCTTTAAAGCCATTGCTTTAGAATGCGTGTATCATCCAATATTCCACACTGTGCAAATGTAATTTTGCTTTCCATTTACTTAATGAACACTTAAAGTACTTCGATACCACAGCAAAAACACCTAGCCTAACTAATAAAGTTCAAACATTAAAAGGCAAGTGAACAGTCAGTAAAAAATAGAGATTAAATAATATTAAATGCACTAATTACAAGCATAGATAAGGTATAACAAAGTTGCAAATAAAGTAATGTCTAACTGTAGTGTATTCAGATAAAGACGTAATAATTAGGCCTAAATGTAAAATGACACCTAGTGTTCACTATATAAATTAAATATAGATTAATCTTTGTTAAAGCAGTGTTTTGTTGTTTGATTAACATTAATGACAGAAAGCAGCAGGTATTTATAGATTGCTGTCACTTTAAGACCGAATGCACGGATCCAATATAAAGATACACATCAAATTTCTTAAAATTCACTTAAGACATAACCGACTGTTTATGAGAATACTTGCAGAGAATGACATTTTGACAGTTCTTTGTATGTGTCCATTCAAGTGCATGGAGATGCGAAAGAAGAATCAATTCGCTGTTCGCGCGCCATCTGAAACACACCTCTCTCTGTGTGTGTGCTGCTGTGCACATAGATAACAGCACGCAAATACCGAATTGATGACGAAACTTAGCAATGAATCTGCCAAAAACATGTGTGCCGAACTGTGAGCCTGGTCCTTACAGATCAACTCCAAACTGTTTAACCCCTTCTCATGTTGTTCCAAACCCGTATGCTGTTATTTATAAAAAATAATTTCTCCTTAAATTCTCCTCCTGTGATCCATGGGAAAACAACAGCGTAGAGATTTGGAACAAAGTGCAGTTGATTGATTGACAAAATATTTATTTTTTTGGTGAATTATTCCTTTAAGCCAACAGACTGCTGGCATAAGTATGAACATATGCATTATCAATTACAGAATGCCTCTGTAAAATCTGAAGACATATGAAGACAAAACAGGCATTCATTTCAAATAAGAGAACATAAATTGAGCAAAACAAAAACAAAAACCTTAAAGGGGTCATATAATGGTACATGCACTTTTACAAGTTGATTGTACTGAAATGTGTGTTGGCAGTGCCTGTACACAAACATCATAAAATGATAAAAATCCATCCAGTGTTTTTGTTTTAATCTCCTTATATGTTTTCCCCTGCCTCAAATCAAGCTGTTCGACTGTGTGACGTCACACGGTCGGACGCCCCTCCCATGATTGTTGATTGACAGGAGCGTTTCAACAACAGACCCGCCCTCGCTCGTGAGCCAGCTGTCAACCATAGTCTGCACGGCGCGGACCGGCGCGGTCATTGTTGATATGCTGGAGCACTGTCTATGAGCAGAATGGCGTCTAAGCGATTGTGGTTTTCTGTTCTTGGGTGTAATAACGAACACAGCAGTCATTTTAATGTTCCTGAATCCGAACCGCTGAAGACGCAGTGGCTGAGTTTGTTTTCGAAGGGAATATTCCCCACGAGCAACGTCAATGCTCTCATGTTTGCGCGAATCATTTCTCACCAGACTGCTTTATAAACGAGGATCAGTATAAAGCTGGATTTGCTAAGAAGCTGCTCCTGAAAAAAGGATCGGTACCAGCTATTCGTGTTCCTGCTGAATCTCCAGAAGAACGGAAGTGAGTGTAACGTTTTATTAAACTTTATATTAATATATGAATCTTTGCAAATCGCTAGCTGCACGCTTAACAATGAATGCGTCTAAGGTTTACACTTAGGGTACATTACGCCATGTTTTCTATGTATGACGTTCTCAATATAATTCATAATCCCACGTTTATACTGAACAACGCGTTATGGTTTTTGTAACTCAATAACACAATTGGTGTACGCACAGAACAGAGAGGCGGGGTGAGCAAAGCTCATTATCATTTAAAGTCATATGTAGGGATGGGAATCAAAAACCGGTTCCACTCGAGAACCGGTTCTAAATTTTACGATCCATCGATATTGTATGCCCTCGACGTTAACGAGTCCTCTTATCGATGCTCCTGCTCTGAGTCAGCCATAGTATGTATACAGACCGTGAACTCACAACTGTCCCTTTTGTCCTTTATCAAGCACCATTGCACCACGTCCAAAGCTAATCTTTGTCCTGCAAAGTCTTATTTGATCAGTGAGTAAAATTGTCTCTCTCTGGTAATGTAGATGAACCGCTGCGCTTGTGACAGGGCGCATGTTAAACTGATCGAGCAGAGAGAGAGAGAGAGAGAGAGAGCCCCGGTCGCGCGCACGCACTCTCTCTCTTCGGAGCAAGGCGAAAGTAGGCTTCACCGTCTCAAAACTAAGCGCTGTCTTCCTCTCTCCCTCGCACATATTAATCAAAATAAACGACACGATGGTAAGGTAGGGAGACTAAAGTTTCATGTGGAGCATTCGGAGATTTGTTTTTCCTGAATTGCCGCTGGGTGTGAATTGTGCTAAAATACGTTGCCTTATCTTCTCTGAAAAGTGTTCCGCACATTCAGCTGACATAATCACACTTCAAATAAACGAAAAAAACGATCCAGTGATGAAATGTTTTCTGTGATGACACACATCTTGTGGGATGTCCCAACTGCCGGGATAATCACACAACGCGGCGCGCACACGTCCGATAATGACACGTCCAATTTGCGAACTAATGACTCATTTGAACCGATTCGTTTTAATGAATGGTTAAAACAACTGATCTTTCCAACACTGAACTCACGGGACATTTAATCGGTGTATAACTAATCGGTAACACTTTACAATAAGGTTCCATTTATTACATAAATTACATAAAAAGTACAGTTTGCTTAGTCAAGTGTAAGCTTTAAAACAAATAAAACAACTTGTTTTTTCCCAAGAAAAAAAAAAAAAATCCCACACAGTGCTATCAAGAATCGATAAGAGAATCGTTAAAGAATCGGATCGATAAGCAGAATCGTTAGTGGCATTGATATTGATAAAATCTTATCAATTTCCATCCCTAGTCATATGCACTGAAACGGCGTGCTGAAAACAGAGCTGTTTTTGACCAGGTAAAATAAGTGTTCTCTTACAATACTAATGAGAATTTTTAATTAAAGTATATTACAAACTTTTAATTTAGACCCTAAAGAATCATATTAGCTTGTACAAAAATGGCATTATATGACCCCTTTAAGATATTTTATTAAAGGTCAAGATGATGAAATATCCTTCTCCAAATATAAGATGCTTGGAAACATTAGCAAAGCCATATTCTAAACTGGATCTTGATGACTGCTCCTGTTCTGTAGCAGCTTGCCAGAAGGGAAATAAAACCCCCAGAAGATGTCTTCCAGAAGGACAAGCAGCTGACTCGAGGTGGGTGTAGAAACAGCCCAAAGCAGCTAAATACTCTGCAATGAACCCAAACTCATTCATCCTGAATTTGAAGCCCACAGACCCAATTTAGCCTAAAGCAAAGCACAAGATGCAGCACTGACATGGTCTACCAAATACAGATTGAATTTATTTAATTCACATCTGAGATGGAAACATTTGTGCTTAAATATGAGGCATCCCAGGTCCCAGAGCTGTCTATTAAACCTTTGAAAAGTACAATCACAGCGAACATTCAAATATGCACTGGCTCTGCCGTGGACCCAGAGAGATCAGTTGTCAAGTATAGCCGTATGAAACAGCTTCACAAACAGTATCATTATCATCATGGTTTCTGTTAAAAATATGATGTCATGTTCCTCATGCTCCGCTCACGACCACTGACGGACTGTCCCGTATTAGCATATTTCCACCCTCAGCCATTTGAATACGGTTCACCAAGGCAGCACTTTACGTGTCTTGGGTCGACACCCCCCATGGAAGAGAGGGGTGGGGTGAGCAGTTGCTCATTATCATTTAAAAAGACATGCATCGAAACAGGTTGCTGTGAACAGAGCTGTTTTTGAGGAGGTAAAAAGGGTGTTGTTTTACACAACCATTAAGGAATTTTAACCAAAGTATGTTACAAACTTTACATGAAGACCCTAAAGAATCATACCAACTTGTGGAAAATGGGCATCTGATGACCCCTTTAAGGCCTTAATTTGTGTAAGGGTGATTTAAGACTTTAAACTTTTTTAAAGTCCCAACTTTATAGTTTGGACATTAACAATAATGTTTACAGAAACAATCAAAATTGAGTAAATCACCTTTTGAAAGTAACACTTCAAATAAAGATTGTATCAATTGCATCATTACACCAGTAGGTGATGACAAGTGACTGTTAAAAATGTATTTGTCATTGAATCATTCATTCAAGAGATTCACTCAAATGCTGATTCATTCAGTAATGAAACAAGTGAAGTCTTTGAGCGAGTCATTGAACATAACATACAAAACCAGGCATTCATTTTAAACCAGAGAACATAAATTGAACAAAAAAAAACAGATTAAAGATCAAGATGGTGAAATAGATGCTTGGATGCATATGCAAAGCAATTTTTAAAAATTAATTTAAAATTAATTAAATATTTTTAAATAGACTGCAGCAAATAACATTTTGTCAGAAAATCTTCCAGGTACTAAATACATTATTAAGAAAATAACAGCATATACTCCCTTCCCTTATAGCAGAAATGCATTAAGACACTTACCCTTCCTGTCATCTCCAGAGGCAACCTCTGCAAGATATCTGAAGTAGTCACCCTTCATCTTTAAATAGAAGACTTTGCTCTCAGGATTTGTTGAGTTCTCGATCAAATATTTGCTCAGCAGTCCCTGAGGGTTGGGGAGAGAGAGAGACCATGTGTAAGGAAAGACAGATAGAGAGCTTGTTTTATCTACTTTAAACAAAACGGTTACAATTGATGCAATTAACTAATGAAGGTGAAAATAGCTGCAGTTTCATAGGATTGTAAATGTGAAATATCCATTGCAAAAGTATGCACAAAGTCTGTTGTTTTTTTATAACCCAAATTCTTCTCCACTCCAGTTAGAGGCAAGTACACTGACATTCTGCATCTTCCCCAGTTTACCACATTCTAGGCGTTGGTGGTTCAGTGGGGCTGTTAGACAAACCATGCAAACACACATACACAACTGAATACCACAGAATGGTGCAGACTTCCTGTGACAGCCCGGCCCTCCCTGCTCAGCCTGTCATTTTAGATCTGTTGACCAACTGTATATGTAAAAAAAAAAAAAAAAAAAAAAAAAAAGAAACTAAAAAGAGAAGAAAAAAGCAAAGAAAAAAAGAACAAATGGAGAAATGAAAAAGTAAAAGACTGACAGTGCATTTAGTCTAAAGAGGGCAGTCATGGCACTCTGGCCCCACATGACCCTATGATTGCACAGTCAGAGCAGCAGCCACATCACACGTGCTTCCTAATGCCTGATTTAACAGCACGCCTGAGAACTGCAACACACACCCCTCATGACCATACAGACATGGATGTGTCAGAACATAAAATCCACTGTCAGAGGAAATTTAAAAAAAGAAACATTACAATGTTCATAGTGAAGAAATTGTCATTTTTTCTGGACTTTTTCGATACAGTTGTAATCGAAATGATTCAACCCCCATTGCAAATCAGGTTTATTGGCAAAATACACAGACTTTCAGCTGTTTGCAATGAACAAATCAAACAAAGTAATTGAAACCGCTCAACTCAAATGTTTCAAGTGGTTTTCCCAAATTCAACTGAAAATGCCACTTTTTATGACTTCTGCAGTCTCAATTATTCAACCCCCTGAAGAGAATCCCTCACAACAGCACAAATCTGCAAAACAGGTGTTGTCTCAAGTACACCTGATGCAACTAACTAATCAAGGGCTTCATTAGTTGCACCAGGTGTGCTTAAGCTAGAACACATGAAATATTAAAACTGGCTGGGTTTGTTGAGTGTGAAGTTTGACTGCATGTTAGAAATATGAAAAAAGAAAGTCAAAAGAATGGTCCAAACGTTAAGAGAAGATATCTTAAATATTACTTGTATAAAGCTTGAATGATCGGGTTCCTATCGGCCAATCATAATGACAAAAAAAACATAATCAGAGCGCCCCTACCAAGTATAAAGCGTCTAAATATGAGCCCAGAAGAGTAACTCAATGTCGATGGAATAAAGGTAACTTTGGGTGTTACCCAAAGTGAAACCACATACAGGCAATCTTGCGTAAACCAAAAACTCATTTAGAAACAGCTACTATAACCTGAATGAGATAAAGCTTAGATTTTCTATTAATATATAATTAATACCTGCGATGACAAAGCTGAATTTTCAGCAGCCATTATTCCAGTCTTCAGTGTAACATTAATCCTTCAGAAATTATTCTAATATGCTGATTTGCTGCTCAAAACACATTCCTTATAATTATCAATGTTGAAAACAGTTGTGCTGCTTAAAAGATTTGTAGAAACCGTAGCTACGTTTACATGGACACCTTTTGGTTCAATCGGAATGAAAATCTATTGATCAACATCAAATCCGATTGATGAATCCAAACACGGTGTTTACATGAACGATAAATAAAGTAATCGGGTTGATGTGCGCGTTTATATGTCACCTGCTTCAAATCGGAATTGATTTTTCGACATGCACACACTGCACGAATATACTGCCACTGTTCGTGCATAACCATTCTCCTCAATTGGTTCTTTATTTTTTTTTAAACAGCAGACTTAATATTTATCCGTCTCTGGTCATGATTTGGGGACAATGAGCATATGAACCATTTTGCCGCTGCTTATATTGATCACGTAGTAAAACTGCCCAAAACCAGTCGTCTGGATGAGTCTGAAACCAGGACTGGTGGGACGTTGTCCTGCTCCACTTCACAGACACTGAGTGAAATGAGAATTTTAGAATAATGGGTTCAGCGCGTCACACGTCATTACGCTATTTTAATGTCATTGCACATGTGCAGTCCTTTCAATTTCGGTTTTCAATCTCGATCGGATTACAAAAGGAAAAAAACACCCCTTTCAATCCGATCGAAATTCCAATCCGATCGAGCTCAATCAGATCGATTAAGGTGTTTACATGAAGGTTTTTAGTCCGATTGAGCCGTCAATCCGATTATAAGGGTACATGTAAACGCAGCTTGTGATAAATTTTTTCCAGGATACTTTGAAGAACAGAAAGGTCAAAAGAACAGCATTTATTTGGAAAAAAAATCTTTTGTAACATCATAAATGTTTTTACTGGCTCTTTTGATCAATTTAACTTGTCCTTGTTGAATAAAAGTATATATTTCTTTCAAAATAAACAACAAAAAACACTTTTGAACAGAAGTCTGTTTTATGCAAACTACCACATTCACATATGCCATCAGTTCATTCCAGCAATCAGATATCAATGGGACAGTCCTACAGGAACCCGCCAAAAATTATGTAACATTAGGAAGGATAAAACAAGAAATTAATGCACTTTCATTTTCAATCTCCTAATGCAAGTTTAAGTTGTTTAAAAGTCAGTGTTTACTGCCAGCTGTTAACAGCAAATAAAATTAAAATGTTAAGCAAGCATGACACTTTACCCCACTGTACACATTCATCAGTCTAACAGACGATCAGCACATATCTAATGTCTATGAAGCCAGGGATTACTTTCCTGTTTACCATCCAGTAATCCAGCTGGTACCACCTTAAGAAAACTGGAACAGGATTTGATTAGAGCAGTGAATTTATGCAGCCATGTACACTTCAGTCCAGCTGAACCATGAATAAGAACTGATCCCGACTCCCCTGCAAAGTGTAGCGACAGTCAGAGACATTTTAAATGAAGAGACCTGATGCATCTTTACGAGCAATCTGTGGAAATCTGCTGATGAAACTAGCATGACAGTAAGACAGACGATACACAAAGTTGCATAACAGCAAAACAGGAAACAAACCGATAGTCATTTCCCCTGGAGGAACCTGAGGTTAAGTGCCTTCAAGGGCAAAATGGTGAAAGGTCATGGCTTGTTATTTGTATTGCTTGAACAAGCAGCGTTCAGCGTTTTAGCCACTATGCCACACCATTCACATTAAAACACACTGAAATAGAAATTAGTCCCTCTGTTTTGATTTAAAAGTTGTTTGAGAGAGATTATTTTAGTATTATTTGTATACTATTATAGTAGTTAATTTTTATATTTTCAGTTTTTATTTTAATTTCAGTTCACGTTTTAGTAACTTAGTTTTGGTATGCACATGACGTCACAGTAGGTGGGAATCACTGCGTTCACACCCTGAAGAGTTTCATACTGAGCGGCAGCGTTGGTGTTCAGCTTGAATGACGCGCAAAACACAAAAATAGCATCTAAAACGGGAAAGAGCTTCGTGATTTATTAAAAACATCCATTACAATGAGCCTTGTGTTCTACAAAGGTGGATGGTTTGGTTAATGTTAGACAAACACAGTATTCCTTACAAAGCTAAACTCTATATCATCTGCCTGATGGTAACAGTCGAGTTATCCAGATATCTTTTAAAAGTTTCAACAAAATATTTTGAAACAACCAGAATATCCATTGATGTCCTCGTCACTTTTATCCCATCTGTCAAGTCAAGTCAAATTTAATTAGCGCTTCGCAATACAGTTTCCAAGCAGCTTTACAGAAAGTCATAATGTTATGTCTATAATGCCAAGTTTTAGCGCTGGGCGATATGACAATATATATATCAACGATATAAGTGTTCATCCGGATTCAGATCTACCTAAATTGTATTTATAGTATTGTCTAGCAGATAAAGCGTTAACAGGGTTTGCTTTTTGTATTTCCCCGTCATTGAAATCCATGGACCACTGGTTCTTTGGTAAGTTGTAAAGAACACTGTTGAGTCCAATTGCCTTTAATTTAATTGTTTTTCTTACTCTTGATTTTGCAGTTTCTCCTATTAAATGAAATCCAGTCATGTTGCAGGATGTTGTGCCCCTCAATCTGGCTGAGGGGGCGTTTTCTGGTGAGAAATTGATGTCAATGCCAGTGTTGCCAGATTGGGACGGTGATTTACAGCCCAAAAGCTCACCAAAACCCGCCCACTACAAGAAAAAACCGCCCAAAATTTTACTGCCAAAATAATGTGATATAATTTCATTACCATGTCATTTAAGGTTGATAAGCACAATTTGTATCTCCTTAAAACAAAATAACGATGATAAAATAAAATAAATAAATAAATACATTTTCCAGCAAAACAGATCAAAAGAAACAGGGCAATAATTAAGGATAATTAGCCAATATGACTACAATGTCCAGGTGGACACTGTCAAAACGGCAATCAAGAAATGAACCGATGACTTTAACCCTCGGAAGTACACATTGCAGAACATAACGCAGAATTTAGCAGTCAAAATTCATCGTTGAAACCTTTTTCAGCAGCTGTCAGGGACAAGTAGAGTGCAGTCTGGATGGTGTAAAGTTGCAGATGTTTGGTTAGGCTAGTGTGCACATATGACATGGACAGGAATCGTCCCATATTTGATTTCAATTCAAGTCATTCAACTGTGCTCTCCTCTCAGAGTTATATTCACCATAGAGTGATCTCCTTCCACGTGTGCGTTTCTTAGAGTTGCTCACTACTGTACACTCTTTTGTATAGTAGGCTATGTCACTTTGCCTTAGCGATCACTTGAATATACAGCTACAACTTCTCGCGCTCAATCGCGTCTGCCTGCGGATCGCTGATTGGCTAAAAGTGCGTGCTCGTCGGTGATGTCAACACTAACGCCAGCTGACTCTGCATGAGCGTGTGTGTGTACAATAATGTCATGATGACTGATTTTATGGACTACATGCACTTTAGTTTCGTTTTTTTAACCAATTAGACTTTAAAATGTAGATGTTTGAAAACCGCCAAAATGATCCCAAACCAGCCCAAATTTTGACCACCCGCCCAAACCCTTTTTTACCCGCACAATCAAATTCAAAACCGCCAATCTGGCAACACTGGTCAATGCATACCCTCATATATATATATATGTAATGCCCTTTAATATTTCTATACTGCTTTAATTTTTGTAAAATCTCCATTTGAGTTTTAGTAACCTCTGTAGTATTTCAACTTATTTTATTTCATTTCTCATTTTCATTTAAGTTTATCTAGTAATTTTAATTTATTTAGCTTTATTTTTATTATTATTAATAATTAATAAAAACAGTGATTTACATACATACTAGCTACTTTTGAATTGCACACAATGGACAAAGACCCATTTGCAGTCACATGGTGTAGTTACAGAATCTACCAGCAGGGGCAAACTGGGCCATGCTAAACAGCCAAACCATGACCCCACAATAGCAACCCTTTAGACAATGAGAGATTTCATTGAGTCATGCCCTTTACCTCCCTGTGTGTCAGCGGCCCCTGACCTTCCTGTCTTCACGCACTCTCCTTTCTTTGTTTGACAGGAAACCAGCTCTTTTAATGCCCTTCCTCCCCTTCTCTTCAGCATAAAGAGATGCAGAGAAAACAGTGGATGACATGTGCACGTCCATTTCCTGCCAGATTTTGCGGCATGTAACCTACAGTACTGTGCATACACACAATCGCTCCCCATTACAGGATGGGCGCCCTCATGTTATGGATGCCCCTCCACGCAGAAGGATTAGCAAGACACTATCCTGAAATGAACCACGCTATTAAAAAACAGAGCACACTACAACAGTCAACTGCAAGGCAATGCATTGCCACGGAAACTGTCTTAACGGCTACTTTTAGCAGCTGAGGTCATTTGTTTCTAACCACAAATATTTTCTATCTGCAGCATTTGACAACTGCAAAAGACCTGTGAGAGAAAGATGAAGATAATGTAAGCTGGAGGCCCATCAGCAAAACTCTCATGATCAAGAAAAAGCTGCTGAATTATTTGCTCCTTTCAATATAAAAGACAACACTTTCACTCGTGTGATCTGGTCACCTGATTTAGTGAACAATAACCCATTAATTATTGCATTGGAATCTTTAGCTTTTCTCAAGAAATCCATACTCAAAGTAAGGAAAGCAAGTAAGGAAATGCAAAAGACCAGATATATTTCATCTCTCAAAATGACAAAGCATATAGAGTTTGGTCACCATAAAATAAAAAAATTTCATTATTTTCTCACTTATGTCATTCTACATATACATGACTGACTTTATTCTGTGGAAAACAAAAGCTATTTTGGTATGAAACAACATTGGATACCATTGACTTTCAGTGTATGGATAAAAACGAATCTTTTTTGTGTTCCACAGAAGAAGAAAAAAGTCTGAAAAGGTTCAGAATAACATGAGGGTGCACAAATGAAAACAAAATTATTTTAAGGTGAACTCTCGCTTTAAATTATCTGTCGGTCTGTCAATGTCATCACATGACATGAATAGCCTTGTCTGTGCTGCAGCAGAATTTCAACAAGTTTGATTAGATGACTGGGCTACCAGGGCAGTGACAGTGGGAATCCAATAGTGATGACACAGAACCTCCCTGTCAAACCCTGTGGGAGAAGAGGAAGAAAGATGCTGTACTTCTACCTGCAATACATATCGATTGTGAGAAACTGAAGGCTTGGTTCTTGCTCTCTGCACCACTGTTCGGAGGAATCAATTCTCTAATAGTTCCATGAGAGCCTCTTACAACAAGAGCACCGTGATGAGGTGCCAAGCTATACACTGGAACACTGTATGCAGCTGTTTTCCCCTCTAAATGTGCCATGGCTCAACACAGCACTCCTTTCGAGATGAATACAATTCTTCTTAATTCATTGAGGTTGGGGGGGTACATAACCACTGGGTTCAATGCTTGTCTGTCATGTACTGCCAGCGATGACACTGCTAACAGTGACAGATCCTTGCTGGTGCTCAAAACCAGTTCCATATCATCACTAAACCGTAAAGGCTCCATATGTATATCCATATATAATGATGGTCCATATGTAATACTGATGCATAGAGGTCAGCAACAAAAACAAAATAATAATATAAATTATAAATATATACAGAAAAATCATTAAAAATGAATAAATAATAATAGCATATAAAATATTACAATGAAATCATAATTTACTATTCTTATATATTATGGAATATTGCAGTATTTATTACACATAATGTATCCATGCAATTCATGTGATCTTGCAATGACATCCCTTCTTTTCTTTGATGATGTGTTTGCTGGCACCAGGGCGGGACAATAACCTCTTTCTTCCAGCAACCTGCTTAAAACTTACTTTTAAACTTGCTTTAACAGCTCAAATGAAAAATGTAAATGTAGGGCATGACTTGATTTTGCCCATCATAAATTGATTGGATCGTTGTCATTTGCTATAGCTGCAGTCTCATGATACAAGTGACAGGTTGTCCCACCCTAGCACCGAAAAACGTCATCAGAGAAGAGATGTCATTGGAAGGTGGGGAAGCTATATTTATTTCACTTATTAGAAAATGATGATGTGCGCAGATAAATAATTTATAATAAATACTGCAATATTCCATAAAAATGGTGACTTTAAGTGTAATAGAGTGTCAAAATTTAGTATACTTAGTATTTAGTCAGCATTGAGTGTTTACAGCATTTTAAATAGACAGATTAGCAAATATAGAGGGAGTATGAATTAAAGACGTATTGAGCCAGAATAGATATCTAGTCAATACAGAGTCAGTATTGAGTAGTAAAGTTCAGATATTGTCAATACAGTATAGCGAGTATAGATTATAGCCGATATTTATAGAGATTCAGTAGTTAGGACATTGCCAATGTGGAGTACATTTAGTATAGTAGCCTATATACGCATTAAAGGGTACAGCCTTACCAACACCTCGTTGCAAATGTCGCGTAATTCGCCCTCCACCTTCTCCCTGTACTCCTTCACCATCTGAAGCTTCTTGTCGTTGCCCTCGGTTTTCTGTTCAATACTGGAGATAACCCTCCAGGCCGACCTCCGGGCCCCGACGACGTTCTTGTAGGCGACGGAGAGCAGGTTCCTCTCCTCGTTGGTGAGTTCGGCTCCCTGCTCCGTCACCTGCTTCATGCACGCCGCCATGTCATCATAGCGCTCCGCCTGCTCCGCCAGCTTGGCTTTCTGAATCAGCTCCGTCTTATCCATGATTTAATCGCACGATGCGGCCGTTTAAACTCCGGGAAATGACGAGTCCGGCAAAGTGGGGAGGGAGAGAAAAACAGTGTGTAAAGGGGGAAAGGAGAAGCTGGCTGGCCGAAGCAGTAAGGGTGAAGTGATCCAGCAGCACCTGAGGATAGAATATGACAGTTTTAATCAATCACATGTTCAGAACGGACATAGCCATTTGTTTAGATTTATAAATAACGTATTTTAAAATATTTCACCGCTTTCAGTCTGCCAAAAAGTGTTATGCTATATACACAATACATATTTTGTTTAACATGTCAATTTAAACCACATAAAGAGGATTAGAGGAAAACTGTCCTGTTAACCTCTTTATTTAATTCACAAAATAAGTAGCATATAAGTTAGAGGTTTAATATTAAATAAATTTCGCCTGCTCGGGTTACTCACGCTTGTCTAATCTATACTGTCCATTAACCAGCCGATGGCTAACTAACGTTAACCTACTACTAATGGACCACGACCAGCGCCACGATTTCATGTCACTTCCAGCAAACCTGCCCGCTGTTCGTGAAGATGTTTTAAACATCGTTCAAGATAAATCATGTCAATACATATCAAATATTTGCATTGGCTTTTAATAAAGCCCAGTTCACCTGATAGCGCGTGTAATTGATTTGGTTAGCTTGTGACAGCTAACGACTGCACTCTTGTCTGACAGGGCTTTTGAGTTTTACAAAATAACGCCTGGCAGCAAACGCTAAGGTCAAACATGTTCAAATTCATTATATAACTGGAGTAAGGAATAATGTACGACAAGGTAAAAAAAAGATAAGAAATGTTTCCCACCTTGAAGAACGGTACCAATCAGCTACTCCGCGAAAGGTATATCCGCTTTGGGAGAAAAGATTCGCCTTCCCCTCAACCAAACTGAAAGGGGGCGTGGCTTTTAGGACGCAAGTCCAATCAGGTCTTAGATATATCATGCATTTTATCGTAGGTCAGGCTAAATTGACCAATGGTCGATAAAATATTGAAATAAAGGCGGGAATAGAGGAGGTTCACCCTGAGACCATGGAGTTTACGTGAGAGGACGTCATTATCACGACCCCCTTGTGCACTCAGCGGGCGTGGCAGTAGGATCATTATTTCGGAAAATTAATGATGTAAAAATGTTTCACACAACATTGTAAATATGTTATATCCACTTTTACGTCGTATTTTTGTCTAAACATTCAGCATGTAGCGCTGTTTGCATTAGTGTTTGCATAGTAGGCCTACTCTTATTGGCACGTCTATATTGGCCGCAATTTAACTATCTAATAATCTGCTTAGGTAACTGTCATAAACAATATTGGCTACATGGAAGATCTATGTACGCATTGCTTTGATAAGAAGGTGTCTGCAAAAAATATGTAAGCTACACCACATTTAGGCTGCCTATATAAATGTACATATTATTTATGGATCATGATCAGAGCTTTGGGATATATTTAAGTAAAATTTGAATGTTCATGGACCCAAATGCATCTAATAATCTTCCATATGATAAGAGGTGGTAGTTTAGGATGTGCATAATTTTTAAATGACATGCAGAGCTCCCAACTGTCCATTACTTTAATAGAAGATCCATGCATTATAAATGTTTTCAGTAATGTTGTGCCAGTTTACAGAGAACAGACATACATTATGTTGTACTTAATATGTACAATGACTGAATCAACTAGAGTCTGAAAATGGCTGCAAACTGGTTGTAAATTACCACTTACTTTTTGTTCATGCCAATGAACCTTCATTATGTCTGACTTAAGATTTTGAGTTCTGATCAGTTTTTTCCCTGTCTAAGACATTAAATGCTTCTAAAGAAAAGAACCACTCAAACTTGAATTTTAAATTTAGGTACCCATAACTGGTCCAGCAAAGGGATTAAAATGGGGACTGAAATGAAAATAGAGGACCTTTTGCTCCGGGTCACACTTGGCTCCGGTCTGACTTCACAATAGGTCACGTGGCTGCTCTAAAACAGGAAAAACTGCAGATCGGTTACCGGGAATGATCTCTTGCCCTGTAATCCCATCCGATTGTTATGCACCATGGACTGGAAAGGGTGTATGGTGTTTTAAAAACTGAATGGGGCCTTTCTGATTCATGACATGGCATTCCTCAACTCCATGATGCAATGTTTAATACTTAACTTTCACTGGATCTTCCAGCCAGATCATAATTTACTGAATAGCAGGAACACATGGTGACAGAGATGCTAATAGGCCTGCATTACCTGCTTTTTTAAATCTTCCACCACTTTATAGTGCTATCTTTCTAAATCTTTCACTTTATATTCTTCTATGAGGCTTAAAATGAAATGGGGATACAGTGATAGAATACAGTAATACACTGAGCCTCCTTCTAAGCACTCATAGCCTATACTTGGCTTATCTAACACTCACATGGAGCCTGAGAGCTGTGGAGAATGTGTGAGAGTCGGCATATGATGAGAGCCGGGCATTTATGTGAAGTTTCTGAACTGCTGCACCCTCTCTGGCCTCAGGGCTGTAAAACATTCATAAAGAGCGGAAAGAGGGAGAGGGAGAGGGAAAGTGTTCCCTGATTAGAAAAGCCAAGATAAGTGAGATGTCTCCAATGAAGTAGGCCACCCTTTCAAGAAGCTATATGGTTTTATGATTATGGTTATATTATTTTATGGTCCTAAAATGAATAACATATCATATATGATTAATATTTTTTTTAATATAATATTGATAATAATAATAATACTGATTGAGAAACATAATTTGTGTAATAGGAAACAGCAAAACAACATTGTTTTTATTAAAAATCGTGTAAATATAAAGGCAGTCAGAGGAGCATGTAGTGATATACTGTATATATAGCAAAAATGATATAGCATAATCTTTTCACCATATAAAAATGTTTTTGATATAGAAATATGTTTCTTGAATAACTTTCAAGTATGAATCATCAATTTGCTTGTATTGCTTAAATATCACTAACTTAGTAAATTTGAGCATTTCAAGGTAGACATTTATTCATTTTTTTTCTCACTTTTTTATTTGGCAGCTGAAAAACTTTTTTGCACCATTTTTTATCACCTTCAACAAAATCAAAAATCCTCTCTTCCATAAACACTTAACTGTGTATTTCTGATTTTATAATAATAATTCTTCTTCTTTTTCTTTGTTTTTATTATTTCGTATATCCCTCCCTGCTAGCTTGTACTATTCTGGACAATGTTTGAAACTGTATTACCATCACTTCTCATGTTTTTGCGTCCTTAAGATGTATTCCTCATTTGTAAGTTACTTTGGATAAAGCATCTGCTAAATGAATAAATGATATGGAATGATATTATATTTTGGTCTTAATTATACAGTATATTTAAAAATGTATAGGTATTCTCAATAGCAATAGCAACATAAACCTACAACATTTAAAAAATATATAAAATGTTAGATCAAGTTATTTAAAAAATCCACCTTTTGTCAATGAACCAATCTTTTGGATCAAGAAAATTGGGCAGTGCATGATGAAGAACACATCATTTTGAGATTCATATTGAGTACAGAGCAAGATTAAGCCTTTTAGTGAAATGCATATTGCATTGCTCACACCCTCTCCAATTTTTCCTCCACCGCCTCCCAGCCTGTCTGCTGTCATGCGCGTTCACGAAGTGGATCAGTCAGGCTGTCGGCTCACACTGTCTGCACAGGCAAGCATTATTACGCAATGGTTTCTTTTTCAGTGAATAAGAAGGAAAAATGTCCCAGGGTGTTGTCTCATCTCCTGAAAACCTGCCTGGGAACAAAGGATACTTAGACCTGTTATCATGGTCATGTACAATAGTTTCTATTTAAAATTTCGCTCAACCCCTCCTTGCAGCAGTTTTACAACATCCAAAAACAGGGATGTTCCAGAAAAACAAGACTCATTAGAAAAATCGTTCAACAGAAACCTGAAGAAGCATGTGGAATAAGATTCAGTGGGGTGTTTCAAGACTGCTGATGTCTTGAATGTGCCTGTGCATGACTGTCCTCTGTGAACCTGTGATCCAACACAGCTGAAGCATGGGCTTTGATGGAATCACATCTCTGGGGACTATTATCTTGTCATTCCTATTTTCTCCACTTTATCAAGGCAGCAGTTGAAATTTCCTTTATGCTTTCCTCTATTATTTATCTGGTTTCAGCCTTGAATTATATTGATGTTTGCATACACAGCACTCTCTGGCTGCATCACAAATTGTGTTGTGATTTGATTTTATGTATAAATTTACAAGAGCCACCTTTGTTTTGTGGTTATGTAGATACTTTGTGATTCATAACCAAAGAAACAAAATATTACTGTCAAGTTTGTATTCAGTTAGTTTCATTTGTTCAAGGTTCCCGCCTCTCATCAGTTTCCATGGACACTAATCTATCATCACAGCTGTTTGTCATTATGCTCATCACCATTGTTATTTATCAACTCCTCTCCCTCATTTTCCGGTATTGTCACGTTATCACGCTGTGTCATGTTGTCAGCGCTCGTTTAATAAACCCTGTTGTTATTTGGAACTACTGAATCTGTCTTCACCTCCTTCCTTGGACTTAGACGTTACAGAATACCAGACTTTTGTGCAGCTTTTTTTTTGTTGTGATTTTTGAATATTTGTGTTTCATTTCCCCCTTCACCATGGATCTGCTCGCAGTAAGACTTATGCCTGGAGCAGATGGACCCTTCACTGGGGGATTATACCCAGGACTTTTTAGATCTGGCGTGCCTTACACACTATGACGACGAGCAAAGGCACGCCTGTCAGTGAACGGTCCCCGTGAGGACTTCGCTACCTATGTGGAGTGGGTGCTGGTGCATAATGGACTAGATCTTATCGTCAGCCCTGGGGACACCAGCCCCACTCCCAACCCAGAGTCCAGCCAGACACCACCATGTGAGATAGACAAGACACCCATAAGCCCACCGCAGATGGAGAGCTAGCGCCAGAAGGAGTGACTGAGTACATGTCTGACCAGGTGTGTGAGCCAGCCACATTCTCCATCGCTGTGGGAGTTTTATTGGAGATTGAGGGAATGGAGTTGAGCCCCGCCCACACTCCTGCCACTGTGAGTTAGACGATTTTGGAGAGGATTATTCCCCCCCGATTCCACTCGATTCAGACTCTTCATAATCAGATCTATGATCTCTCTCTTACCTTCTCTCCACACCTCAGCCAGTCTTTCTACCCAGTCTGTTTCAGCCTTTTCTCAAGGCCGTGGAAGCATGGTAGTCGGCTTCATTCCTTCATTCCACACAGCACTTCATTCCACCAAGCATTGTTTGTTTTCTTATTTATTTAAATCCAGATAATTGATTTACAAAACATTGACTGAAATTAAGGTACAAATTATACGAAACGAAAAACTTCAAAAAATCCATATCTCGTCGACAATATATATTCAATCCATTTCCACGCCCACACTCATAGCTTCAGCTTGACTTCATATGAGCAAGCTGAAAATTAAAGAACAATGGTATGGCTAACCTTGATTTAACAGTTTCTGATGTTATTGGAGAATACAGCATAACCCCATTACATTTCTGGGGCCTTCCAAAAGCAGGAGGCAGATGGAAACTCTAGGTGTCGCATCATTGCTGAGGTGCTTTGATATAGTATAACGCTTGGGCACAAGTTATCGCCCTCATTTCTGGCTCTGTCAGTATGCTCCTGCCTGGCCGTCAGATTTCATTTATCACTTTACAGAAGCTGTTAAAGTATTTAGGACTGATGCTAAATATGTCTGCTGTGAATGTTCTTCTTACATCTGCATGTATGAGGTTCTGTAAATCCTCAGAAAAACGCGACATGTCAGAAAAGTAACATTGTTATAGAATGTTGGCAAGTTGAAGCCAATCATAATATGAAGTCGTTTTTATATATGTGCCTATATAATCCATGTTCTTGCTGGCACAAAAGCAACGAGGGGTTTTA